CCATGCACGCCTTGCGTCCAGGGCTGGCTGCGCCGTGCTCGTCACTCCTTCTCGTTTTCCCCCACAACTGCACCACTCCAGACTCTGCACCCGGACGTCCGTGGCCCAGCCCTTGTCACGAGCGCTACTTTCTGGTGCTCGTCGATCACTAAACGCGCTACACCACGGTGTTTCCCCTGGAGCGGAAGGCCGACGTGGCTGACATTCTTATCCCGTAGCTGCGCGAGTACACCATGTCCTGCGAGTGCTTCGTCTCCACTCCGACAGTGACGGTGAGTTGCCTCCGATCGGCTTGGCTAGTTCTGTCGTGCGGAGGGCATCACCACTCGTGCACCCTGCCACACCCCCCGCAGCAGAATGGGGTCTCTGAGTGACGCATCGGTTTGGTCATGGAGGTGGTTCGTGCCTCCATGATCCATGCCGAGGCACCCCATTTTCAGTGGTCGTTCGCAGTTCGCTACGCCGCTCACCAGCTTAACCTGTGGCCACACTCCCAGTGGCCGCAGGTTTTGCCAACCCTTCTCTTGACAGGGTCCCCTGGTGACGCGTCTGCGTTCCACGTTTGGGGCTGCCTCGCTCACGTTTGTGCCTCTGGCATGGACAAGCTCACTGCCTGCACCGTCCCTTGTCTCTTCCTTGGCTTCCACCTTGACGCGTCTGACTGGCACTTTTACCACCCGGCGTCTCGCCGCTTCTTTCACTCGTGTGACATCACCTTTGACAAGTCAATCTCCTTCTACACCCGCTTTCCCCACTGAGGTCTCCCAGTTAACCCGCCCCTGTTCCTTGTCCCCGCTCCCCCGATAGGTCCTACTCCCCTCCCTCCCTGTCATGCCCCCTCTTGTGTGTCTCACGTCACTCCCCTTCCCTGGGTTGCCTCGGCGACTTAGGGTCTGCCGCCTGTCTCCGCCCTGGTGTCTCCTACGCCACCGCCGCAGCAGCAGCCACTGTCATAGCCACAGCAGCAGCAACTACCGCCACAGCTGCCGCGGTAGTAGCCGTCGTCGCCGCCGCCGCAGCCGCGGGGGCCCACAAGCTCTAGGGGTGCAGGAGCTAAGGAGGGTGCTGGTTCTGGGGGTGCTAGACCTGGGAGTACTGTTGTGGCTTGTCCTGGCGATCTTGGGGGTGGCACCAGTGCAGGAGAGGGTTCTCGTTCTGGGGGTGCGTGTCCAGGGGGTGCTGTCGCAGAGGGTCCCGGGAGTAGCCGTGGTGCGGCTGGAGGCTCTGGTATCAGCGTAAAGTACCAGCAGCAGTCGCCGCCGGTGTCCGCCCTTCGCCTCCTCTGTCTTCCCTCCCCCAACCACCCGTCCGCTCCTCCTCTGCTTGAATACAACCCTGTGTTCCTCCGCCGCACTCGTCCTTGGCTCGTTTCCCTCCTCGTTCTCCTCCTGTGTCTCCTGACCCGACGCCTCCCCCCCACTTCTAGTCTCGCCATCCCTCTCATGCTTGTCCTGTCTTTCCAATTCAACGTCCTCTCATGCATGTTGCTCCGTTTTCACGCGTCACGTGCTCTACTTCTCTTCTCTTCTCCCCAATCGTCCCTTGTTGTCTCTCTGCCTCCTCTCTCTGACATTCTCTGTGCTACTAGTCCTCTTGTTCCTCAGGTCCTTGCCTCTCTTGTTACCGACCCGTCCGTTCCTGTCTCCAGTCTTGAAACTCTTGTCGCTGGAGCTAGTGGCTTTGCCTCTACCCACCGCCTTGACTACGCCACTGCTCTGGTCTCTGAACCTGCCCGTCCTCTACTCGTCGTTTGGGCACCTGCCCTTGGCAGTGACGTCCTAGAGGACATGCAATACGAGCTAGCTTTCCTGTCCGAGGCTGCTCCTCATCTCTGCTCCATGCTACTAGTCCTTGAGGGTGACCCAGACGTCCTTGACATCCCGACCCCTCGCACATACGCTGAGGCGACCTTGGTACCGTGGGCCTCTCAGTGGATAGCTGCCATGGACGTGGAGATGGCATCTTGGAGATCCACCAGTACCTACGTCGACGCATTTTCCTGACCTGGGGTGAACGTAGTCGATGGCCGGTGGCTCTTCAAGGTGAAGAGCCCTCCTGGAGAGCCGCCGGTGTTCAAGGCGCGCTACGTTGCTAGAGGTTTCAGTCAGCGTGAGGGTGTTGACTTTTTTCAGACCTTCACTCTGACCCCGAAGATGGTCACTCTTCAGGCGCTCCTTCACGAAGCAGTAGAGCGCGACTACGAGCTGCACTCCCTCGACTTCTCCACAACGTTTCTCGAGAGCAGTATGCACGAGCAGGTCTAGTTGCGCCGTTCGCCACGCTTCACTCGCACCTTCGCCCCTTGGACCGAATGGTTCCTCCGGTGTCTGGTTTACGGCGTGCGGAAGGCGCCCCGTGAGTGGCATGACACGCTGCGTGCTACGTGAGCAGACCTGCAGTTCTTCCTGTCCTCTGCAGACCCTTCGCTCTTCGTTCGCTCAGGCCAGACCCTGTTCTACATCCTAGTCTACGTAGACGACCTGGTCTTCGCTACTGCAGACAGAGACGCACTGGCCTCCGTGAAGGCAGAGCTGCTGAGGAGACACACCTGCACTGACCTAGGAGAGCTGCGCTGCTACCTTGGCCTGCAGATCTCCAGGAACAGAGTAGTGCGCATTATCACTCCCACAGTCATAGTTGGTGCGCGAGGTCCTTCAGAGGTTCAGTCTTCAATTCTCATCCGCACACCCTACACCTCTGCCAGTAGATCACAGGCTTTCGGCTCCAGTCTTTGACGAGTCGATAGAGCCCAGTGGTCGGTACGTAGAGCTGGTGGGTTGCCTAATGTACCTGATGACTTGCACTTGTCCAGATCTCGCATACCCTCTCAGTATCCTGGTTCGCTTTGTGGTGACAGAGAGGCACCGACCAAAGCACTGGTCGGCCGCTAAGAGGGTTTTGCATTATCTAGCGAATACATCGGGCATGGGGCTAGTGCTGGGAGGACGTAGGCCAGTGGTCCTTACAGGGCCCTTAAAAAAATTCGTTGAGCAATCAGAGTTACCTATCTTTTTTCCGTTTAGCCAAATCCTCCTCTACAGTCATATATTCCATTTCACGCTCTCGGCGTTGAGCATCGGTTTTGTTTTTGGCGTGCTTCAGACCATAAAGCCTTGTGTCGCGTATCATCGTGCCCTGAATCTGGCCGAGGGAACACGTGTCCTCGCCTTACATAGTCCCTAGTACAGTAGACAGACAGTAGCGCCAAATTTGTCGAAGGGCCAACACGTGCCCTCACATAGCCCCCCCCAACACACGCCAGCTCTAAATTTGTCGAAGGATCGGTCCTGATGAGACAGGGAAGTTTTGAGAGTAACCCGTGAAATTTCAGAGAAGTTTTGTGAGTGAACTCAGATCGCTCAGCGTTACAATTGAAGTGGATCATGTCACCTCGGCATAGAATGTGGGGAGAACCCTGTATCTTGTAAGCGTGATTCGGGGGCCCTACTGTTATGTCCGCCCATTTCCCCTGCTCGATGTGTGCTTGGGGCTATGTGAGGAAAAAAATTAGCCTTCACCAAATTTCGGGCTAGTGTGGTGTGTGCTGGGGACTGTGAGGGTACACGCTGACCATTAGCAGGTTTTAGGCTACTGTGCACTGATGGGGGCTGTGTGAGGGCATGCGCTGACCCTAAACCCTAAACCCTAAACTTGACACCATGTGCTGTGCTGCAAGGTCACTTGCATGCACAGGGCAGGGCACCAGGGCCCAAAATTGGTTTTAGGCCACCCTTAGAGGTGTAGGAGGATAGTCTCTGGATATGAGGACTTGCCGAAATATTATGGGTTGCGGGCAGGCCCCCCAACCCCAAATTGGTTTTGGAGGTGTCTGATTCATCAGACTTGCCTCCCATCCCTTGGTATGGCCATCAGACTCGCCTCTGAAAAAAAGACTGAAAAATCAGAGTAACAATATATTTTGTCTGATAAATCAGAGTCACTAATTTGTTTTACGCTGATTTTAAAACTGTTGTACGCTACACGTCAATAAATGTCCTGCATAACCTCCTCAACCTCGTCCACCGAACTCCTCCACTTTCCTAGTGCCCTCTTACTACTTGGGCTTGGCATGCCAGGAGCTCTCTTCGAGTAATTCCGCTCCTCGGGTCTGACCCGAGGCTGACCAGCGGCTGTAGGAGCCGCGGGGTTTGCAGATCCAACTTTGGGTCTTGTGATTCTGACACGAGCTCCAGAATGCTCCCTTATTCCGCTTTTGAGATTTCGCCAGCACACAGACTGGAGCATTCTGGAGTGCTAGCTGTCTGTGTGCTGGCGAGCCGGCTCGCGCTACGAGTGTGTTCAGAGTGAAAATTCCTGGATTTTTTTCTTCCTGATGTCGGCAAATTACGCGAGATGCAGCGCAAATACGTGTTCAGAGTGCACGATGTAGGCCCAATAAAATTGAATTTATTGGGCCGACGTGGTGGTACACATAAACTTTCAGGGATGGGGCGGATAGGAATTGGGGCGGGGCGTATCGAAATTGCAGGGAGGGGAGGGAGGGAAATCGGCGCCATCCAGTGGCAACCTCGTGAAGGGCCAATGGGCGCCCTCGCACACACAGCCCGCGGCAGACATCGGCAATTTTTCTTAAGGGCCAATCGACCCCTCACACCGCCTCCAGCACAAAGATTTTGGCCAAGGGCCATTCAGCTCCCTCACACAGCCCCCAGTACGCATTGGCCTTCGATTTTCGTGAAGGGCCAGTCTGCTCCCTCACACAGCCCCCAGTACACATTGACCTTTGATTTCGGTGAAGGGACAGTACGCGCCCTCACAAAGCCCCCAGCAAGCATCACACCCTGATTATGGCTAAGGGCCAGTCAGCGCCCTCCACAGGGGTAGCAGCGCTAATCACGCTCCCCCCAAATCTCGGTATTTCACAGAATCAGAGTCAACCCCCCATATGGGGTTGAGGCATCAGAGTACACTAATAAAAAAAGTCTGAAAATCTTGCAGGGTGCGTAAGACACATGCACTAATGTCTGTGTTAGTGAATGTTAGGCTGGATCCTGTCCTGTTGCTGTTCATCAGAATCTGTACCCCGACATCGACTAGAACAAACCTGTTAGTCTACACAGAAACAGCACATCAAGGTGTGGCTGGTGCGTGGCAGTAGCAGCAGGTGAGCGTCTAGGATCAGTCCTGTAGGAGGGGAGAAGCAGTGGAGCTCAGGGAAGACGGGAAAACAGAGGCGGAGAGCGAAACTGGGACGATGCTCCAACTCGTTCGTTTCATTCAACCCAACCCTGCCTCTTCATCCAACCCTGCCTCTTCTGAAGGAACTAGCTTGGAAGAGAAAAGATTGAATTGAGTAGGGAGCCAAGAGGCTCTTTTGTACAAAACAAGGAGCAAGAAAGAGTTGGAAGGGAAGCTCTCCTATTGGCCATAAAGTGGACCAATGGGAGAGGTTGCTTGTAGGGCAAGCAACCACAAAGTGTGGTGCTCTCCGATTGGCCACAATGTGGACAAATGAGAGAGATTGCTTGGAAGGCAAGCAACCACAAAGTGTGGTGCTTGGTGATTGGTTGGTTCCTAGGACCAAGGACCATTTGGTTGGAATAGTGCCAACCAAATGTCTAGGACCAAATCCAATCTTGACCAACCCAAATGTGGGGTTGGTCAACCCAACCAACAACCCCCAATAATTAGAATGACTACACCTCCTAATCTAGGCATGCATGTTGTATAGATATATATTTTACAACACAACCCCCCAACATGCATAAGACTAGAGGGCTTGAATCAGGAGGCGGACGAGGGAACGGGGGGAGCGAGTCCAAGAAGGCGAAGGAGGGACGAGTGGGCGGCGTGGGGGAGGGCTTTGGTGAAGATGTCGGCAAGATTGGCAGCAGAGTCAATCTTGCCCAGCCGGAGGTGACCACCTTGCACAAGCTCGCGAATGAAGTAGTGGCGAAGCTCAATGTGCTTGGAGCGCCCGTGGAACACAGCATCCTTCGTGAGGTGGATGGTGCTGGCGTTGTCGCACCAGATGGTGGGACAGCGCTGAGGGGCACCAAGCTCCTCAAGAAGGAAGGAGAGCCAGCGGGCCTCCTGCGCAGCCATGGTAGCGGCATACAGCTCTGCTTCGCAGGAGGAGAGGGCAATGGAGGAGGAGCGGGTGGAGCGCCAGCTGATGAGGCCACTGCCAAGAGAGAAGCCATAGCCCTGAGAGGAGCGGCGGTCAGGCCTAGAGTCAGCCCAGGAGGAATCAGAGTAGCCAGTGAGGAAGGGAGGGGAGGGGCCGCCAAGGGTAAGGACGTAGTCCTTGGTCCCCCGAAGGTAGCGGAGGACACGCTTGGCCGCTTGCCAGTGGGTGGTATCATGCTTGCCGGTACCAACGAAGCGGGCCAAAACGCTGATGGGGTATGTCAGGTCAGGGCGGGTGGAGACCATGGCATACATGAGAGAGCCGATGAGCTCAGCGTAGGGGTGGGAGGAGGAGGAGGGGGAGGTGAGGGGAGTGAGGTGGTGCCCAACAGGAAGAGGGGTGACCTGAGGGGTGCCTCGAGCCATGTCGAACCGCTCCAAGACCTGCTGCAGGTAGTGGCCTTGGGAGAGGGAGATGGTGCGAGCAGCACGGTTGCGGGTTATCTCCATGCCGAGATAGTGCTGCAGCTCCCCTAGATCCTTACACTTGAGCCGGCTGCCAAGCTCACGCTTGACGCGCTCGAGCTCGGCGGAGTCGGCAGTGATGAGGATCATATCGTCGACATAGACGAGGATGTAGAAGGGGGAGGGGGAGGTGCGGAGGAAGAGGCTGGGGTCGGCACGGGAGGTGCTGAAGCCAAGCTCGGCGAGGGTGGCAGCAAGCTTGGCATGCCACTCCCTTGGTGCCTGCTTGAGCCCATAGACCGGCCGACGCAGCTGCCAGACAGAGTCGGAAGGAAAGGGGAGGTGGAAGCCGGCAGGACGCTCCATGTAAATGAGCTCGCGCAAGACCCCTTGGAGGAATGCGTTGGAGACGTCCATGGAGTGAATCTCCATGTTGAGGCGAGCGGCGAGGTCGAGGACTGCGCGAATGGTAGCGGGCTTGGCGGTGGGAGAGAAGGTGTCGAAGAAGTCGACAGCGTAGCGCTGGGTGAAGCCCTTGGCGACGTAGCGGGCCTTGTAGACTGGCGGCTCGCCAGGAAGCTGCTTCACCCGAAACACCCACTTCCCTTTGACCACGTTCGTGGTAGAAGGAGGGCGTGGCACATCCACAAAGGAGGAGTCGGCAATAAACGCCTCCAACTCCTTGAGGATGGCCGCGAGCCAGAGGTGAGCGTCAGGGCACGCCATGGCCTCCTCGTACGTGGCGGGGACAAAGATGGTGGGGGCGGAGGAGAAGGCGAAGACTGGTGTGCCGCTGAGGTCAGGGGAGATGGGTAGGAGGGCTGGATCATGCAGGTGGAGGTTGAGGATCTCCTCATGGGAGTCCTCGAGGAGGGAGGAGTGGAAAATGAATGGGAGGACTGCAGCTGCTGCTGCTGCCGCTGCTGCTGCTGCTGCTGAGGATGCATCTGCTGCTGCTGCTGCTGAGGCGGCTGCTACTGCTGCATCTGCTGCTGCGGGTGAAGGCGAGGAAGGAGCGACGGCTGCTGCGGTGGGTGGAACTGCTGCTGCAGCTGTTGCTGCTGCTGGTGGGGCTGCTGTACTGGAGCTCGACGGCAAGGTTGGGCTAGTGTTTTGTTGTAAGACTGTCTGAAAAAGGAGGTCCATGAGAGGGGAGAGAGGAGACAAGGGAGAGGAAGAGAGGATAACAGGAGGCGGGGCACCTAGGACTGCGTCACGCGACCTGGTGTGGGGATACCGGGTAAGGATGGAGCGGGTGGGACGCAAGGGGGGAGGGGGACGTGGGGGGGAGGGGGGAGGAGGGGAGGGGGGAGGATGGGAGGGAGCGGAGGGGGAGGAGTGGGACGGGGAGGCGGGGGGAAAAAAAGGGTCAGGGTCAAATATGTCACCAGAGGAGGGGGGAGCACTAGGGACCGAGGCGGCGGGGAATGGAGGAGGTGGAGCGGGAGGGAGGATGGGAGGGGGAGGGAGAAGAGGGGGTGGGATAGTGTCGGACCAGTTGAGGGGCCTGGGAGCAGGGGCGAGAGGGTCAGTGGGGGGAGGAGTGGAATAGTAGGGTGTGGACTCATCAAAGACTACATCCCGACTGCGGAGGAAACGACCTGAGGGGGGGTGAAGGAAGAGGTAGTCCGGGGAGGAGGGATTATGACCAAGGAAGATGCAGGGGAGAGTACGGGAGGCAAGCTTTCCCATGGTGCGGGGGCGGTCCGCAGGGTGAATGAGGACATACGCCCTGGAGCCCCACACACGGAGGGAGGAGACGTCAGGCTTGGCCGACGTCCAGAGCTCGGTGGGAGTGGTGGAGAGAAGGATAGGGTGGGGGTACAGGTTAGTAAGGAGGGTGGCGTGAAGGAGGGCATAGCCCTACAGAGAAGGGGGGCAAGAGGCATGGACGAGGAGGCACCGAGCAATCTTGGTGATCTCCCGAACACGGCTCTCGGCCACACCATTGTGCTGGGGGGAGTGGGGGAGGGTGTGAGTCTGGCGAATGCCATGAAGCTCACAGTAGGAGGCTACCTGACGATTAAGGAATTCGCCACCGCTATCAGAGTGAAGGCGGCGCACAGGGCGGCCAAAGTGGGTGCTCGCCTGCTTGAGCCAGGCGATGATCGCAGCCGGAGCATCACCCTTTGAGCGAAGAAGGGAGACGGACGAATATCGGCTGTGATCATCGACCAGAACAAGCATGTAGCGATGGCCCTGGCGGGAAGGGGAGGGGTTGGGGCCCCAGAGGTCCATGTGAACAAGATCAAGCGGCTGAGCAGCAGCGGAGGGGGAACTCCGATGCGGCAGCTGCTTGAGCTTGCTCTGGACACAGACGGAGCAGGGTGGGGCAAGGGAGGGAGGGAGGGGAGGGAGGGTGAGGGGAAGACCTTGAAGGAGACCTGAGGAGACGGTCGAGCGGAGGGTGGCAAAGTTGGGGTGACCAAGCCTGTGGTGGAGGAGGACGGTGGGATGGGAGAGGGATCGACAGGAGCAGGTTGGGTCAAGGGGGAGGGGGGGAATGGTTGGGTTAGAAGGAGGGAGAGGAGGGGGAGGGATGTGAGGTGGGGGGAGGGAGCGGGAGACTGCCTGGGCAGAGGGAAGACGAGGAACTCGAAGGGTATATAGGCGGGAGAGAGGACAAAAGGGAATACGGGAGAGGAGGCGACCTGTGGGATGGTATAGGAGGCAGTGATTAGCGCGACCTGGGAAGACGGTGGTGATACCGGCCTGCTGCAGGGATCGCTGGGAGAGGAGGTTAGTACGGAGGGAGGGGATGTGTAAACCAGTGACGGTACCTGAGGGGAAGAGGGGACAGGGGAGGGTAGAGGTGTGGCGAAAGGGAATAGAGAAGCTGGAATCGGCACCAAGGAGGGAGGTGGGGGCTGGGAGAGGGTGAAGGGTACCAGCATCACGAAGGACGAACTCGGTGGCTCCACTGTCAAGGACAAAGTCCAGCGTGGTGGAGGGGGGAGGATGTGGGGGAGGAGGTGGGACGGAGTACTGAATCACATTCTCATTAATAGCAGCCGAATACATAGAAGGGGCGGGGGTTCCAGCCTGGCTAACCATGCCAACAAAACCAGAGGAGGGGAAAGGAGTCACACTGCCTGTGGCTGAGGGCGCGGGAGACGCGCCCGAGAGGTGAGCTGCGGAAGCGGCGGTGCCGGCGGTCCAAGCGGGGTAGGGCTGCTGGGGGGAAGCCATAGGAGGAGGTGCAAGGGGGAGCTGTGACTGGAGGTCAAGCTGCTGCTGGAGCTGCTGGAGCTGCTGCTGCAACTGGGAGAAGAGGTGCTGCTGCCCCTGCTGCTGCTGCTGCTGGAACTGCTGCTGCTGCTGCTGAAACGGCTGCGGCAGGATCTGCTGCGGAGTCTGCTGCTGCTGCTGATGCTGAGAGACGGCCTGGTGGGCCAAGGGGGAGGAGACGGGCTGAAAGAGAGGGGAGGTACGAACTTCCTGAGGAGTGGGGCGAGGAGAGAGGGAGGACCAGCGGGGGGGGGTGCCGGTGTTGCCGCGGGCAAACCACTCATCACTGAGCGCTTTGAAGCAAGAATCAGTGGCATGAGTGGTCTGGCCGCAGCGCTGACCTCGCGTGGGGCCATAGCGAGGGAGATACTGGCAAGGAGGAAAGGCGGCTGCTGCACCACGTCCCGCGCCATTGCTACCACGACCTGCGCCACCACCACGACCAGCGCCACGCCCACCCCCACGCCCTCCCCTGGTGTTGCGCTGCTGAGCAACAGCGGCAATGGAGGAGGAATGGCGCAAGAGGTCGGCCTCAGTGGTGATAATCCACTGGGCGACTTCAGCCGGGGTGATGCGCTTGTCGATCAGCTGCATGTAGGCGATCTTATGGGTGTCGAAGGCAGGAGTCAAGCCTTCAAGGAGGTGGCAGCAGAGCACTGGGTCCGGGTACGACACGCCAAGAGCCGCCAGGCGCCGAGCGAGGTCGAGGACGCGACGCGTGAAGGCAGCTGCGCCGGTGGTAGAGTCCATGGTGAGGCTCTGGAACTCCTTGATGAGGGAGTAGAGGGTGGCGACGTCCTGCCGATCATAGAGATCAGTGAGGAGCCACCAGAGGTGGGAGGAGGAGGTGGGAGCAAGCTCGCGCTTGAGGGTGGGAGGAATGGTGGCGAGGAGGATGGTGAGCGCGCGCCGGTCAGCGACACGCCAGGCAGCGAGGTCGGTGATGTATGCGCGCTCGCGCCTGACGTACTCCGCGAGCGCCGCCTGATACGCGTTGTAGGCGGCAGTGGCGGCGTCATGCTCGGCGCGGGAAGCCTCGAAGAGCAGCTGCTGGCGGACGTGGTCGGTGAGGCCGGCACGCTAGGTGCGGATGGCGGTCTCGGAGCTCTGAGGGTCGTTGACGTCAGGGGCGAAGGTTGGAGGATCGCCGGGGCTGACGGGAGCATCGCCAGGAGGAGGAGGTGCAGGGCCCGCGGGAGCATCCGGCTGGGCAGGCTGAAGACCGCGCTCCTCGAGATGGACAACGGCTTTCAGGTTGTAGCCGTTGACCGTCACCGAGGAGAGAAGCACCGTGACGGTTTGGGCATAGGAATGCCAATTGACCGCGGTGTTGTCGGGCAGCAGCTCAAGAGTGTCGACGGAGGTAAGGTCCACCGAGGAATCGGACGCCATTGAGGAGGAGGAGGGGAAGGAGGGGGGGGGGGGGGGGGGGGGGGGAGGAGGAAAAGGAAAGGAGGAGGAGAAGGGGGGAGGGAGGAGAAGGATAGGTGCGCGGAGCGCAGCTCTCAAGCCGCCGAAGGAAGATGCGGCGGCCGGCTGCATGCCGAAATGGCGCGACGAACGGGTGCACGCGACGGCGGAATCGACGACGGGCGGGCGCACGCGGCGGAGAAATCGACCGACAGCCGTGCGCGCGCGGCGACCGAAAGGCGACGGGCGCGGTGGGAGAATTTGTCGACGGGCGTGCGCGGGAGCCGTGACGGTCGGGCGCGCGGAGAGCGCGATGGACGGGTGCGCGCAAACGCGGAAGGCGCGCGACGGGAGGGCGCGACGGGAGGGTGCGACGACAGGTCGCGCGACGGAGGAGCGCACCAACGGGCGCAGTAGAAGGATGCGACGGCTAGAAGCGCGTCGTCAAGCGCGACGGGAGGCGTACGACGGAAGGGAGAGCGGGCGCGGCAAAAAGGCGCGGGACGGGAGGAAGAGCGGGCGCGACGGAATAGCGCGGCGGGAGAGGGCGCACGGGGGGCGCGGGAAGGAACCTTAAGGAAGGGCTAGGCTTTGAAGACGAGGAGGGACGGCATACGGCCGTGCTAGTTAGGATCGACTAGAGGTGGCGTGAGCCATTGTGGCTCTGAATGCCATGAAGGAACAAGCTTGGAAGAGAAAAGATTGAATTGAGTAGGGAGCCAAGAGGCTCTTTTGTACAAAACAAGGAGCAAGAAAGAGTTGGAAGGGAAGCTCTCTTATTGGCCATAAAGTGGACCAATGGGAGAGGTTGCTTGTAGGGCAAGCAACCACAAAGTGTGGTGCTCTCCGATTGGCCACAATGTGGACAAATGAGAGAGATTGCTTGGAAGGCAAGCAACCACAAAGTGTGGTGCTTGGTGATTGATTGGTTCCTAGGACCAAGGACCATTTGGTTGGAATAGTGCCAACCAAATGTCTAGGACCAAATCCAATCTTGACCAACCCAAATGTGGGGTTGGTCAACCCAACCAACAACCCCCAATAATTAGAATGACTACACCTCCTAATCTAGGCATGCATGTTGTATAGATATATATTTTACAACATCTTCATCCAACCCTGCCTCTTCATCCAATCCTGCATCTTCATCCAACTTCCTGCCTCTTCATCCAACCCTGCCTCTTCATCCAATCCTGCATCTTCATCCAACTTCCTGCCTCTTCATCCAACCCTGCCTCTTCATCCAACTTCCTGCCTCTTCATCCAATCCTGCATCTTCATCCAACTTCCTGCCTCTTCATCCAACCCTGCCTCTTCATCCAACTTCCTGCCTCTTCATCCAACCCTGCCTCTTCATCCAACCCCCCACCCACCCCGTCGTGTCAGAACCCCCCAGCATTCCCCACGCTGCGAGCATCAGCATCAGCAAACGAGGCGTCGCTGCGCATGTCCTCGCTCATGCTGCCGCCCTCGCTGTACCCCTCGTACTGCCCCGACCCCTCGCCCCCCACGTCCATCTCCTTGACACTGCCGTTGTCCATGTGACGCTCTATGGTGCGCCGGCTCACGCCCCCTGCCTCCATGCGCATCATTGCCACAAACTCGTTGTAGTCCACGCGCCCGGACTGCATAGTTGGGAATGGGTTTTGGGGGATCGTTGGGGATGGGGGGGATGGAGGTAAGAGGGTTCGCACAGCAGGCAATCACCTCAGGTCCGTGCCTCCGCCCTCATCCTGTCACACATTCGTTGTGGTTCACTCCGCCAGGCTAGCGCATACGGGGGGAGAAGGGGGGGCCGAGGGAATGGGGTGTGCGTGAGGGGTGAGGGGTGATGGGTGAAAAGGGGGGGGGGTGGGTGGGAGGGGAGAAGTTAGGGTGTCGGGGGAGGGTGGAATGGAACACATACAGGAAGTTGAGCATGCAGTTAACTGCCCGCTCCCTCTCTCCTCTCCCTATTCTGCCAAGCACTTCCGTAGCACTCTGTAGCATGTACTGGAAAATGGACCGTGCCCTCGTCCTCTTGCCATACTGCTCACCACCTGACCAACTCACGCTCTGCCCGCACACACATGCACATGGTGCCTAAACGAGCATCTCACCGCGTCGCGGTTGACCTCGTGCATCATCTCCTGCACGACCACGCGGTTGACTTTGTACTTGTCGCAGGCGCGCTGCAGCTCGGCCTGGCTGATGTAGCCGCTGAGGTCCTGGTCGAACACGGAGAACGCCTGGAAGAGGTTCTCCTGCTGCTCCACCGCGCACAGCTGCAGCAGCGCCACAAAGAAGTCCGGGTAGTCAAACGCCACCTTGCCGTCCAGACAGATCTGCCAGGGGGGTGGGCGGAGCGGATGGGACTATGAGTGACCATTACACTATGGATGAATGCACTGCACAATGTAGGGTGTACTGCCACGTTAGAAAGAATGTATTCCTGGAATACAGACATAATCCTACCTCCTGCCTGTGTAAAGGGCTCCCACCGGACGTTAGCGCAGCCTCACCCACCAGTAGAGAACCGTCACCTCCCGTTCAAGGACCCTCACCTCCTGGATCATCTCACCTCCTGGATCATCTGTGCCACGGCATCAGCGGGGTCGTGGAAGCCGCGGCTGTGCAGCGCGTTGGGCAGCGCCGCGATGGGCACCACGCCCGAGGCCGAGGGGTCGAGGCGGCCCAGGTCCGCCTGCAGTGCGCGGATGTCGTCCTCGCTCATGGCCTCCACCATGGCCTGGGGGGGGGCGAGGGGTGGCGGCATGACGGCCAGGCAGCTGCACACACAAGGGCCAGCGCACAACCCATCTACGCCAGGTCCGCCTGCAAGGCCCCTGCGTCCTCCTCGCCCATGGCGTGCACCATGGCGTGCACCATGGCGAGCACCATGGCGTGCACCATAGCGTGCACCATGGCGAGCACCATGGCGTGCACCATGCCGTGCACCATGGCGAGCACCATGGCGTGCACCATGGCGTGCACCATGCCGTGCACCATGGCGAGCACCATGGCGTGCACCATGGCGTGCACCATGGCATGCACCATGGCGTGCCCCATGGCGTGCACCATGGCGTGCCCCATGGCGTGCACCATGGCGTGCCCCATGGCGTGCACCATGGCGTGCAGGGGCGAAGGGAGCAACTGAGCAAAAGGAAGGGAACAACGCAGGGTGGGAGAAAGCAGGGAAGAGGAGCGGCACGATACAGAAGGAGCACTGCCGTGATCTCCCCCCTCGCATGACCAGCACTGCCGTGGTCTCTCCCTATCGCATGGCCAGCACAGGCAGCGTGGGTGAGGGAGAGGAGAGCGGGAGTCTAAGAGTGAGAGGAACACCGCGCCACTGTGCGTGCAGTCTGCGCACTCTCACCCCCTGCCCTTGCTGTCAGCTCTGAGGTGAGTCACACTCAGCCCAACCCACTTCTCATGAACTCACTCTCGCTCTCTCTGCACTCGCGTAGAGGAAATGCTTCAAGCGGTCGGCCACGGCCATTCCCAGCGGCTCCTTTCTGCCGACTCTCTCTCACTCTCCCTCGCGCTGCACTCTCTCTCTAATCTCTCCCTCTCCCTGCACTCTCTCTCTCATCTCTCCCTCTCGCTGCACTCTCTCGCTAATCTCTCCTTCCCTCTCGCTCCCTGTGTGCACTCACCCGGAGCGCCACCTTCTTGACCTTCTTGAGGCGCATGACATAGAGGAACTGCTTGAAGCGGTCCACCACGTCCTTCTCCAGGGGCTCCTCCGGCGCCCGGCTGATCCATGGGTGCTCTAAGGGGCGGGGGGTGGATGGGCGCGGAGGGGTTGAGGGGCAATGGGTGGATGCCGGGAGGGGGGCTTGTGTGACTCATAGCAAGAAAGAAAGGCGGTTCCCCACATCATCTCACGCGGCGCCTGTAGCGCCCGGCTGTTCCAGGGGTGCTTGCTTGGCACACAGTGCAACGAGCATGCGCTGTGGCATGTGCTGACTTACCAACGCATCTCACCCACCATTATGAGTGAAGCCCATATGCCGTCCACCTAATTGCTGCGTGGTGGGCTGGTGGAGCGCCAGGTCATGTTACAGCATCTGGCTCATGAGGCTCTTGGCGTCCGGCTGTGGCAGCACTTGCAGTGGGTATCAAATGCACCGCACCCACCCATGGCAATCAGCAATACTAGTGAGGCTCATCTGCCCTCTCACCCAGACGGAAGCACCATCATCTCACCCAGAAGCACCATCATCTCACCCAGAAGCACCATCATCTCACCCAGGCAGAAGCACCATCATCTCAGCCAGACGGAAGCACCATCATCTCAGCCAGACAGAAGCACCATCATCTCACCCAGACGGAAGCACCATCATCTCACCCAGCAGCGCCATCATCTCACCCAGCACTTGCTGCGCGGTGGGTCGCAGCGCCACATCGTGCTGCAGCATCTGGCTGATGAGGCTCTTGGCGTCCGGCGAGATGCGCGCCCACACCGCCTCGCGGAACAGCCGCTGCGGCTGCAGGATCACGCGGCGAAACGCACGCTCTGACCCTTCATGGGAGGCAGGGGGTGAGAGTGGGGCAGGGAGGAGGGGGGAGGAGAGAGGGCGGGAGGAGAGGAGGGGCGGGCGGGCATGCGCATGAGGGGGCGCAGCGAGGCGAGGAGGGCGAGATGCACACAAAGCCCCACGCAACAGCCGCTGCCACGGCAGGATGAAGCAGCAGAAGGGGGGGGGGGGGGGAAGTGGGGAACGGAAGTTGTTGGTTGCAGGGAGCAGGGGGGCAGGGAAGTGGGGTTGAGGAGGAAGACTGTGGATGCTGCAGAGGACTGAACGAAGGAAGGGCCTTCACTATCTTGGACGGTGGGGATGAAGGGATAGTTTCCAGCAAGCAACAGGAGTGGAATGGGTAAGAGGATCTTACTGTCGCAGTGGAAGGCAGGAAAGGGCAGTTGCCAGCAAGGGGAGGGAGTGAAGTGGGTAAGAGGCCCTTACTATCGAGGCCCAAGGGCAGGAAGGGGTAGTTGCCTTACTGTCTCTCCCAGAGGCCAGGAAGGGGTAGTTGCCTTACTGTCTCGCCCAGAGGGCAGGAAGGGATAGTTGCCCTACTGTCTCTCCCAGAGGCCAGGAAGGGGTAGTTGCCTTACTGTCTCGCCCAGAGGGCAGGAAGGGATAGTTGCCCTACTGTCTCTCCCAGAGGGCAGGAAGGGGTAGTTGCCTTATTGTCTCTCCCAGAGGGCAGGAAGGGGTAGTTGCCAGAGGCCAGGAAGGGGTAGCTGCCTTACTGTCTCTCCCAAAGGCCAGGAAGGGGTAGTTGCCTTACTGTCTCGCCCAGAGGGCAGGAAGGGATAGTTGCCCTACTGTCTCTCCCAGAGGCCAGGAAGGGGTAGTTGCCTTACTGTCTCGCCCAGAGGGCAGGAAGGGATAGTTGCCCTACTGTCTCTCCCAGAGGGCAGGAAGGGGTAGTTGCCTTATTGTCTCTCCCAGAGGGCAGGAAGGGGTAGTTGCCAGAGGGCAGGAAGGGGTAGCTGCCTTACTGTCTCTCCCAAAGGCCAGGAAGGGGTAGTTGCCTTACTGTCTCGCCCAGAGGGCAGGAAGGGATAGTTGCCCTACTGTCTCTCCCAGAGGGCAGGAAGGGGTAGTTGCCTTACTGTCTCTCCCAAAGGCCAGGAAGGGGTAGTTGCCTTACTGTCTCGCCCAGAGGGCAGGAAGGGATAGTTGCCCTACTGTCTCTCCCAGAGGGCAGGAAGGGGTAGTTGCCTTACTGTCTCTCCCAAAGGCCAGGAAGGGGTAGTTGCCTTACTGTCTCTCCCAGAGGGCAGGAAGGGATAGTTGCCCTACTGTCTCTCCCAGAGGGCAGGAAGGGGTAGTTGCCTTACTGTCTCTCCCAAAGGCCAGGAAGGGGTAGTTGCCTTACTGTCTCGCCCAGAGGGCAGGAAGGGATAGTTGCCCTACTGTCTCTCCCAGAGGCCAGGAAGGGGTAGTTGCCTTACTGTCTCTCCCAAAGGCCAGGAAGGGGTAGTTGCCTTACTGTCTCGCCCAGAGGGCAGGAAGGGATAGTTGCCCTACTGTCTCTCCCAGAGGGCAGGAAGGGGTAGTTGCCTTATTGTCTCTCCCAGAGGGCAGGAAGGGGTAGTTGCCAGAGGGCAGGAAGGGGTAGTTGCCTTATTGTCTCTCCCAGAGGGCAGGAAGGGGTAGTTGCCAGAGGGCAGGAAGGGGTAGCTGCCTTACTGTCTCTCCCAAAGGCCAGGAAGGGGTAGTTGCCTTACTGTCTCGCCCAGAGGGCAGGAAGGGATAGTTGCCCTACTGTCTCTCCCAGAGGGCAGGAAGGGGTAGTTGCCTTACTGTCTCTCCCAAAGGCCAGGAAGGGGTAGTTGCCTTACTGTCTCGCCCAGAGGGCAGGAAGGGATAGTTGCCCTACTGTCTCTCCCAGAGGGCAGGAAGGGGTAGTTGCCTTACTGTCTCGCCCAGAGGGCAGGAAGGGATAGTTGCCCTACTGTCTCTCCCAGAGGCCAGGAAGGGGTAGTTGCCTTACTGTCTCGCCCAGAGGGCAGGAAGGGATAGTTGCCCTACTGTCTCTCCCAGAGGGCAGGAAGGGGTAGTTGCCTTACTGTCTCTCCCAGAGGGCAGGAAGGGGTAGTTGCCAGAGGGCAGGAAGGGGTAGTTGCCTTACTGTCTCGCCCAGAGGGCAGGAAGGGATAGTTGCCCTACTGTCTCTCCCAGAGGGCAGGAAGGGGTAGTTGCCTTATTGTCTCTCCCAGAGGGCAGGAAGGGGTAGTTGCCTTACTGTCTCGCCCAGAGGGCAGGAAGGGGTAGTTGCCTTACTGTCTCTCCCAGAGGGCAGGAAGGGGTAGTTGCCCTACTGTCTCTCCCAGAGGGCAGGAAGGGGTAGTTGCCTTACTGTCTCTCCCAGAGGGCAGGAAGGGGTAGTTGCCAGAGGGCAGGAAGGGGTAGTTGCCTTACTGTCTCGCCCAGAGGGCAGGAAGGGATAGTTGCCCTACTGTCTCTCCCAGAGGCCAGGAAGGGGTAGTTGCCTTACTGTCTCGCCCAGAGGGCAGGAAGGGATAGTTGCCCTACTGTCTCTCCCAGAGGCCAGGAAGGGGTAGTTGCCTTACTGTCTCTCCCAGAGGGCAGGAAGGGGTAGTTGCCAGAGGGCAGGAAGGGGTAGTTGCCTTACTGTCTCGCCCAGAGGGCAGGAAGGGATAGTTGCCCTACTGTCTCTCCCAGAGGGCAGGAAGGGGTAGTTGCCTTACTGTCTCTCCCAGAGGGCAGGAAGGGATAGTTGCCTTACTGTCTCTCCCAGAGGCCAGGAAGGGGTAGTTGCCTTACTGTCTCTCCCAAAGGCCAGGAAGGGGTAGTTGCCTTACTGTCTCGCCCAGAGGGCAGGAAGGGATAGTTGCCCTACTGTCTCTCCCAGAGGCCAGGAAGGGGTAGTTGCCTTACTGTCTCGCCCAGAGGGCAGGAAGGGATAGTTGCCCTACTGTCTCTCCCAGAGGGCAGGAAGGGGTAGTTGCCTTACTGTCTCTCCCAGAGGGCAGGAAGGGGTAGTTGCCGGCGAGCAGGATGTAGAAGATGACGCCGCATGCCCAGATGTCCACCGGGGGCCCGTAGCGCTGCTTGCCCATGTTCTCCCAGATGCGAATCACCTCCGGCGCCATGTACATGCAGCTGCCACAGACTCGCGTGAAGCCCTCGCCTGGTGGGAGTGGGAGCAGGCATGGGAAGGGTGGAGGGGAAGGGGCTTGAAGCAAATCACATGCATGGATGCATGTGATTCGCAACTCGGGCGCCATCCATGCACATGCAGCCGCCACACAATCGGGTGAAAGGCTCACCTGGTGGGAAGACACACGGAACAATGGGAGAGCAGGGAAGGGAGGGATGCGGTTGAGATAGCGAGATAAGAGAAGAAACATAGGCACAGAAGGGGTTTGAGTTGCTAGAGTTCTGAGTGTGTGACTCGGGGTGCCATGTGCATGCAGTCACAGGGATGCATGAAAGGATTCCGCTCTTTTCATGAATCACACTGTGGGTGGGGGGGTCGATCCACCTGGAGTTGAACTCGTGGCACAGCAAGCCGAGCCGTCCTACCGGGCTTCAATCAAATGCACCACCATGGCGGCGTGCCTTCAAGAACAGAGTGGATTCTCGACTTGGAGACCGCGGTTCACACGCTGATGCCCTCTGGTGCTGGAATCGGCATGGTCGCCACTTAGCCTGGCACGAGTGCTGCCCACATGGGTGAAGCGCCGCACACTAGGCACACCACCCTAGCGCCATGCCAAAGTCGGCGGCTCTGAGCACGGCATCGGGGCCGGGGTGGAGAAGAGCAAGTTGCCCTTTCGGGCTTGTTTGAGCGCAGACAGAGGGGTTTCACATGAAGGCCAGAGCAGCACCATGCACTGGGTGGGTGGCATGATCACTGCACTGCACCCATGGCTGCAGACAAACACATAGGAGCCAAGCCCAGGCGGCGTACCGGGCTTGAAGTACGCAGCCATGCCGAAGTCAGCGGCCTTGAGCACGGCATCGGGCCCGGCGCAGGAGAAGAGGAAGTTTTCGGGCTTGAGGTCGCGGTGGATGACGCCGCTGCTGTGGCACGAGTGCACCGCGCGCATCACCGCCTTGCACAGCTTCGCGGCATCGCGCTCGCTTGAGGGGGAGGTGGGGGGTGGGGGGTGGGGTGGGGAGAGAGTGGATGAAGAGTGAAGGACGCCAGGAGGAGGCTTGTGGTAGGGCGAGGGCAAGGGGGAAAGGATATGCTAGTCAGTTGATGCCAACGCACGGCAGGGAAATGCAAGGGTGATTTGCGCAAGACTGGTGTGCAAGCTGAAGAACGGTGAGAATCCTCATCCACCAACCCTCATTTCTCTCATCATACCGCTCCAACTTGTCCTGCTCAGACAGGTCACAGCAACGCCATCCTGCCCAAGGAACCTCTTCCTCATCCATACGACTAATACCCATGGGATATACAGATCACATGCTCCGCCCAAACACCACTCCCCATCCACCCCCTTCGTGCACTCCTTAGCCATAAGACAACCCCCAGCCCTCACTCCTTCCCTCCCCCCCCCCCCCCCACCTGTACGGCACCACCCCCCCCCCCCCTCACCTGTGCACAACCCCTCACCTGTAGGGCACGGTCATCTCGTCGCAGCGGCGGTTGATCTCGTCGAAGAGCTCCCCCCCGCTGCAGAGCTCCATGACGATGTGGATGTCGTGGCGGTCCTCGAAGGTGGCGTGCACGCGCACCACGTTCGGCTTGCCCTGCAGCCGGAACAGCACGCTCACCTCCATGCGCACGTCCTCCACGTCCTCCACGCTGATCAGAGAGCTACGGGGAATGGTTTTGCATGCGTACTGCGTGCCGGTGGCCTTCTCTGTGCACAGGTACACCTTGCCGTACTGCCCCTCGCCCAGGGGCTGGCGGTCCATGGTGAACAGCGTGCGGATGTTGGCTGGGGGGGGGTGATGGGTGGGGGAGGGGTGATGGGTGGGGGAGGGGGAAGGAGGGAAGTCCGCAGCGCGGCGCGACGCACTGAGAGCGGGATGGAGAAGTGCAGAGGGGAAAGCAGGGAGAATGAATAGGGCGAAAGCGAAAGAGAGATAGCGCAGTGACAGTGTGAGCACGGGCGAATGCCCTCCACTCCAACACTCACACGCCACTATGGCGCCCTTTCCCTCCACAGCCCTGACACCCCTGACCCTGCCACTCAGGGACTCACTCCAGGTGCACAAAGTGAGCATCCTACACCCTCCCCTTGCCCTGCATCTCCAGTCCCCCCTTACAAGCCCACCTGCAAGCCCACCCTCCGTGCCCTGCAAGCCCTCCCTCCGTGCCCTGCAAGCCCACCCTCCGTGCCCTTTTTACCCGCCCCCCTCCCCTTCCCCCCCCGGCGTGCCCAGCTTGCCCCAGTTCGTCCCCAGCTTCCGCCCTTCACTTGACCTAACCCTGCCTCCTCCGCCACTACCGGCACCCCTGGCCAGGCACCCCCGGGCCTGAACCCCTGGGCTTCAAGCACACCAACTCACACCCCAAACCCCTAGCCCCCCAACCCAACCCCCTACCCTTCCCCCCCACTCTTTCCTCAAACTCCATATCTGTTTCCCATATCCCCATATCCCCCAACCCTCAGTAGCCCACCCCCCACACACATGGCAGCCAGGTCCACGGCTGGGCACAGGGATTTCAGGGCTTACGCGTCGGGCCCCGGCCTAGAACGGAGGAGGTGAGGCTGCGGCCGGGCGTGACGGACGCCATGGTGGGCGGCCAGCGCCGCGCCGGCAGCTGGATGCTGAGCTCCATGTCCATCTCCGCCCCGCCCCCTCCCCCTCCGCCTGCTCCCCCTGCTGCTGCGCCCCTGGGTCCCCCTGTGGGGAAGTCCTCTGGGAGCGGGAACATGGACGCCTGCTGGTACTGCACCTGCTGCTGCAGACTCCGCTGCTGCTGCTGCGGCTGCTGGGGCGAGCGAGGGGCGGGCGGGTGCATGAGGCCTTGGGAGGGCGGAAACGCCTGCTGCTGCGGGTGATACAGCTGGGGCGGGTGAATGGGCTGGTGCGTCTGCTGGGTTGCCTGCGGCTGCTGCCAGGGCGCGAGGGAGAAGGGCAGGGCGGAGGGGCCGTTGGCGGAGGGGCCGTTGGAGGAGGCTCCAGATGAATTGGAGGCCTGGGGAGGGTGGACGGGAGGTAGAGCAGGGGGGGGAGAGGGGGGCGAATGGAGTGAACGTGTATGCGTGAGGGAGTGAAATAGAAAGAGAGGAGATGGGGAGAGAGAGGTAGAGAGACAGGGAGTGAGGGAGAGGGGGAGAGAGAGAAAGAGAGAGAGAGAAATAGAGAAAGTATGTGGGAAGTAGGGGAAAGGGGAGGAAGAGAAAACGGGGAGGAAGCTCGAAGGTCAGGTATAGGGGGGAAAATGAAAAGGTGGGGAGGGGAACTGAGGGAGGGAGGGAGGAGTGGGGGAGGGTGGGCGGGGAAGCAGCAATGAGGAGAATGCGCGCTGACAAGAGGAGCGACGAGCGTGAAGGAAAAAGATAGTGAGTGTAAATGACAGAATAGAAGGGTCGGATCGGAAGAGAACAACGCCAACTCCTCCAGGCCACGCCTGCACAGGAGTGCGGTGTGCGGCGCCTTCCACCCCAGTGCCGTACCATGGAGAGTTCAGGAGAGTCAACGGGCGGCTGGTTGGCAGGGGGGTGAGTGGGGCGGCGGAAGTAGGGCTGCAGAAACACCTCCAGCGACGTCAGGCAGTTGCCCGCGCAGTCACGCCGCAGGTCGTGGTGCTGCAGGAATAGAGACGACGGGTGCTGCTGCTGCACCTGTTGCTGCTGGTATGGCTGCTGCTGCTGCTGCTGTTCCCCGCCCTGCACCTCCTCCTGAAGCCCCTGCTGCTGCTGCTGCTGCTGCTGCTGCTGCACGTGCTGCTGCTGCTGCTGCTGCTGCTGCTGCTGCTGCTGCTGCTGCGCGTACTGAGCGGCGAATGCGGCGCGCAGGTCGTCGGGCCACTGGATGAACACGTCACCGCCGGTGCGCTGCGCGTCGCCGCCGGTGTGGTGCGCGTCGCCGCCTGTGGGCTGAGCGAACGCGCTCGCAGCAGGGGGGGATGCGGCGGGCGCGGAGCTTGGGGGCTGCGAGGGGATATCCCAAGGCCCGTGGGCGGGCGGGGCGGCAGCAGGGGCGGCGGTATCCGAACCAACTGTATCACGCGCGGCAATATCAGGGGCGTCAGAATCAGGCGCGGCGGGTCGGGGCAGGGAGAGGAGCCCTCGGGCGGAGGAGGAGCTTCCGACGCTGCTGGCGACGCTGGGGTCGGACGAGAAGGCGCTATTGCTGCTGCCACTGCTGCGCGCCGACTCTGACATCAACGGGGCACGTCATGCGCGGGGAAGGCAGGGGACAGGTCATGCGCGAGGGAGGGCATGCGCGGAAGAGATGCGCGGATGAGGTCATGCGCGGGGGTGGTCATGCGCGGAAGAGGCGCGCGGCAGGTCGCCGTTCGGGAACGCAAACTGGCGGAAGGTCAATTGCGGAAGGCCTATGGTGGAGTATTCAAGGCGGAGGCAGTCAAGCGAGGGTAATTGGCGGAGATACCCAGCCAGCTCCGCCGACGCACACACGCGACCCAGAAGAAGCGGCGTGGTGATGCAGGGGACGAGCGACGAGCGATGAGCGACGAGCGACGAGCGACGAGCGACGAGCGACGAGCGACGAGCGATGAGCGGGGTAAGACAAGCCGAGCGGGAGTCTCAGGTTCGCGGCTCAATAAGCTCTAGTACTCGATAAGCTCCTACTCGATAACCTCCTACTCGATAACCTCCTACTCGATAATCTCCTACTCAATAAGCTCCTACTCGATAGTATTAAACGGCTTGAGGTTCGACGTCAGCCGTTGCCGCGACAAACACATTGTCTTCGCGAGCTCGCTCGGGTGCACCGGGTAACGCGACAGTAGCGGGAGAGGCAAACAGACTTAGTAGTGTGACAATGTCGAAGGACGGCACGAACTAATCATGCGAAATTAGCGCGCGACGAGGTAGTTGGTAATGACGACGCGTACTGTAACAGCGCGGCGTGCAACCAACGCGTAAGACGAGCTAATGATACCTCTGTTATACGCGTATGATGTTATCAGTCCTAAGGTACGTGTGTGTTGTCCTAAATGGAGTTAGCTAGCACGCTAGTGGTAGGTTCGTGCAGACAAGTTACAAAAAAGCAGCAGACCTTCGATCCGATGATGTGAAATGAAATGCGAACTGAGAGGGAAAATGCTTTCGATTTAGGGTGTGGTCGACCGTCCACCGCACTTTATCACTCTGTACCGAAAAAACGCCTAGACAAACCCTTCTACGAGGTCGGCCTTCACGCCATCAGAGTCGAGGGGATGGATTGTTTGAGCTGCGCCACTGGCGAAATTTGTTGACGTGATACAGTAGCGAGAGCTCTTACTGGCGCCACTCAAAACTCTAACCCGAGTCACCACACCAGAGCCACTCACTCAGCCGTCCGATATTTGAGCGGCGATGATTACTTGAGCTCCAAGTGCGATCGCGCGTTGTGATGGCCAGTCATGTAGCCCGTTTCGAGAAACCCCATTTCGGACTACAGCGTCCTAAAAAAATGGTCTCTAAAGATACTCTATGCGAGTAAATGAGAGAAATAGAAGTTATAGGAGCATGACATTACATAAAAAGCAGCTACACATGGGAAATATAGTAGATTCACCGAGAGAAAAATACTTAAAAGAAAATTGGATGGTATACGTGTCAACATATTTATATATTGTTATAGGCTAGATAGGTGCATGCTTATAGAGAGTACAGCACCATAGCACAAAACCTGTCTGTATGCCTCATTCTAGACATTGCGTTATTCTGATATGGTATCACGCTAGGGTTCCCCTCCCCGCTTACGCTTCCGCCCCTAGCCCTAGCCCTAGCCGCGCCCGCCCCTAGCCCTAGCCGCACCTCGCCGCGCCCGAGCCGCGCCTACACCCCAGCCCTAGCCGCGTCCCAGCCGCACCCGCACCCGCGCCCTAGACCGCACCGGCCCCGTCCCTCTGGCCCCTAGTTCCTAGTGCCCGCCCTAGTCCCTAGCTCGCCTCTGGCCCTTTGTGCGCCGCGCGAGCCCGCTGGCCCCTAGCTTGCCGCTGGCCCGCAGCTCGCCGCTAGCCCCTAGATCGTCTGCTGGCCCCTAGCTCGCCATTGGCCCGCAGCTCGCCCGCTGGCCCCTAGCTCGCCGTGTCGCCGTGACGCCGTGCCGTCGTCAGCTGCTGCAGCCGTGGCGATGGCGGACGCTGTGCTCTGCCTGGACGCGGATGGTCGGGCGATCGACTTTGAGGCATGGCTCGCCGACCTCCGCTGCTCGCAGAGGGGACAGCGCCAGGATGGCCAGTCTCTGGCCGTCCACGTCGACGGTAAGATCCCCTGCCCCGACCCGCCAGCTGCCCTCTCAGGCCCTCCCACGCCCGCTGAGCGTGAGGCCTTTGCAGCTGCTGAGCTCGCCCGCTCTATCTGGGAGTCGTGTAACGCAGTTGCGCAACTTGCTATCAGTCGCGCCCTCGCCCTGTCTGAGCGCCCCAGCTACTAGGAACTAGAGATTGCGAAGGAGTACTTCGATGTCGTCATTGCGCGCTATTCCACTCCGCTGACTTTTACTTGTGGTTCCACCAACTTAAGATCCTGGTCACCCTAAACAGGTGGTTCACTTCTACACGTTCGACGTTTGGGAGCACATCCACAAGTTAATGGCCCGAACAGCCACTATGGGACGACGATTAGTGTAAACGCGACTAGGATACTATCCTAAATGTGTTGTCCAAAAACGGTCCGCGAACAGACAATCCGGATAGAAATAGGTTTTTCGGAATAGCGTTTCGGACAGTTTTCCGAATGAGGTATGATGTTTGCGGGGCAGAAACATTATAATTTTTAAACACATGCAGTGTTTTTCAAAATTGTGTATTGTGAAAGCGAAGCTGATTATACTGAAACTTTTGAGCATCGTCGAAGCGCGCTACTCGCCTTTCTCCAACTACAAATACGTGGGTTGGAGCTTATTTCCTTCAAACGGCTCAGTCAACTTTTCCCGCTCTAGCTTTTTCTCCTGTTCAAGCTGGCTAAGACTAGAACCTTGCCCTGCGGCGAGTCTCCCTCAACTCTTATTTGCGATATTTTTAAGTTTAACCAATCTGCCAAGGCCCGACTACGAATAATCGCGACGAGTCCAACGTCGCAACCGGCCGCCCCAATTCCGAGTCTAATCGCCAAGCCCCGGAAATTGCGAGCCACCGGCAGAACAAGCGTCGGGCAGAAGAAGGGGCGTCTTTCCTAACAAGGGTGGACGTTCTGCTTGGAGGGGGCGAGGTCAACAATCAGCCTTCTAACATGCCCCCGCCCCCTTCCGAGCTGTGCACGCAAGTGGCTGAGCAAGGCCAGCCACTCGCGCCTGACGCCGAGCCGCGGCAAGCGTTGGCGCCGCAAGTGGTGGGTCCTTCTCGCCAGCGCAAAAGGGGGCATGCAGCTGCCTCGTCCGACGTGCCACCCACCCCGACCTTGACCCCGTCATTGACCCCTGCGTCGGTCAACGCGCAGCAGCAGGCGACGAGTGTTACGGCCGCAGAAACTGCTCAACCTGCTGATTTTGCATCTGCTAAAAAGGAACCTCCAAAAAAAGAAAAGGCCACACGCGGAACCAAGACGCCGGGCCTCGACGAAGATAGTGACGACTCCGACAATGAGGTCCCCGACACCGCTCCAAATTCAATTCCCACGGATCACCTCCCTCCCCTCCTGTCCACTAACCCTAACCCTCTCGGCGGCGTCCTTCCTCAACGTGGCCGTGCGCGAGCAAGCGGATGTCCTGAAGGGCCTTAAGGCCTACCTGAAGCACGCGGAGTACAAGGTGCAGCACGGCGACACGCCGGGCGGCCTCGAATTCCTCGCCGACGCGCTCGCCCTCATATCTCGGCGCTTCGAAGTCCTCCAAGTCGAAGACGCCTCCGACTTTGCACGACCAGGCGTTTCAAGCTGTACTAGAAGAAGAGCCTGCTTACCTCCAGGCCCTTCAAACAGGCCGTCGCCAACGTGGCTGCAATGGACCGCGCCGAGGGTGTTTTTGCTCGTGGCAATCGCGGAGGCGGCTGCATGCCCATGCCGTTCGCGCCAAAGCGTGGCCCGCTGCCTACGGGAGAGTTCTACAGCTTCCGAGGCACTTGCTTTTGCTGTGGCCAACCGGGGCATGTGGCCAGCGTCTGCCCAGCGAATGGACATGGTGGCCAAGGACCCGCATCCGTGGTGTACGAGTTGGGCCATGGGCGCTTGCGCAAGTGGCGCAAGGAGCAATGCACCTGGTGTGTGCGTAGGCCATTGGGCCCACCCCATGGGGGCACGGGCGGCTGAGGGCCAACCCTAGTTTAGGTCATTGGAGGGCCCTAGGCTCAGATCAAGGGAAGGGGAATAGACCCCCTCGGTCCCAAGTGATAGCCCGACTTTGTGGGGCGGATTTTGCATGCCTAGGAGCATAGTTGAGTAGCGATGTATTTGGATTTGAAACGAGGAGCAGTGGTCATCTATTTTTTGAGGTTTTTAGTCCAAAAAACACAACCAGAGGAATGGGAAAGGAGCACCACAAGAGGTGCAGAAAAAAAAACAAGAGTTGAGGAAGTCCATCCTTGATGCAATTTTTATCGTTTCTCCTTTGTTTAGTCTCCCTCCCTTACTTTCTCTATTCCATATTTACTGTTGACTCTTTCGTTTTCCCCATTCAACTTGAGCTCGCTGCTCCTTTTCGTTTCTCATTGCTTTAGAATCCTTGCGTTCATTTCTCCTTGGTAGTCTTTCCTCCCTTACTGCATGTTCGTATTTTTTTCCTCCATCTCCTTCCTCGTTTTCTTCCTTTTCACCATTCCCTTTGTAATGTCCCTTTCATCTCTCCCGTTTTTCCTGTCTTCATTATTCTGATTCCTTCCCTTCCATCCCCATACCTATGTCTGCACTTCTTTCGTCTGTCAATCCTTGCTTGCATTATCTGTTCATTTTTTGCATACTCACTTACCCTCCCTTTCTCAATTCTATCTTCTCGATTCTTATGCCTCTTTCTTGTTTGCCTTGATTCTCCCTTCCTTCTTTCGTGCTTTCTTTCTTTGTCCTTCTTTTCTTCTTCGTTGCTTTCACAATATTCTTCCCTCTCTCCTTTAGGTTTCCTTGTGTTTTTCTTAGGCCTTTTTCTAATTGTTCTTCCTTTCTCCACGACTTCTTCTTGTCATTTCCTTCCTTGATTCCCTCTTTCTTTCTTTCTTCCTTCTTTCCCTCATGTCTTCTTATTTTCCTTAATTTCTGTCCTGATTTCTCTTATACCCTTGTATCTACTTTCTCAACACTTTTTGTTTCCGTTCTTTCTTGCTCCATACCATTTGTCCATGCTGCTCCTTTTGTTTCTCTTTTGTTTCAGCCTTCTTCTTGCATTTCTCCGTTTCCTACTTCATTTTTGCTCCTTTCTTACCTTTATCCTCTAACGTTCCTTATTTACTTCGTTCACATCACCATGATTCATGCTCCTGACCTTTCTTTTCCCGTTCTCTGAGCTCTTGTTTTCATTGTCTCTTGTTTACCTTTCTCGTTGCTCCTCATTCTCACGTTTCTCATTACTAGTTATATTCATTGCATCACATACACAATGCACCACCTACTTCTATTTTTCTGTTTTGTTTTGCCTACAGGTTCTTCTGAGTGGATTTGGTTTTGAATGATTTGCAGCGGCATTTCGTTAGGAGGTGTTCCATAAGTAGACTTTCTAGTCTTCAAGATACATTAACGCTAGTAATTTTCAAGATGCATTATGTTTTCTACGTGGTAATATCTTAGTACTAGACAATTATGAAAAGAGAGTTGATGTTCTAACATTCCCTGCCAAATATCTTTAAATTCATCCAATTCTATAATACTTAAGTTTATTTTAACCGATAAAGAATATACCACTGTGTAAATAATTTAAGTTCATTGAGCATAAAATTATTATCATAAAGTTTTAAACTAAAACTGGGTATATTATGTTGTGACAAAATTAATAAGACAAGAATATAGTAATAGATATTCTTGTGCATGCGTAAATCATGCAGAGAGTTTTGAACCAGACTTTTAATGCTAACATCGCCAAAATCTTCCAATATAGTAAACCCGTTTTCATTATCAAAGTGAAAAAGCCGAAGTTATGTTTTCAAAT